TGAAAATCGGTCTCGTTTAAACAGTTACGCAATTACGTAAAGCCAAACAACAATATTTTAAAATCAAATTATTTCAGCCAGTAAGAATCCAAAAATATTATGGGAAACGATTAAGTCAGTGACAGGTTTGAGATCCAGTTAATGGAAAACAATGTCAGCATTTTTTAACAATGCGCAACCGGAGATTTAAAATTAACGTCATCTTAAATTATGTTTGCAGTTGATCCTGTGGTTTTAGTCCAAGCAGAGTAAATCTTTCCTGTTCTGTTTGGATTTTATCCATTTAAATGCTAGTTCTTAACACCTAAACTGTCTTGTGGTGTTCCACAGGGCTCCATATTCGGTCCTCTCCTTTTCACTGTTTACTCGATGTTGTACAGATTTATTTACTCATGAAGCCGAAAGGTAACCTTCAAACTTCTTTCACTGACCGCATCACTGACATCGAACAATGGCTCAATTAAATCTCCTTGTTTTTAAATGAAGAATGGAGAGTATCATCTCATTTCAGTTATATCTTTTAGCCAAGGTCGGGCCTTTTTTTAATTAAAAAAACATCTTGACCTGTAAGATCATTCATGATTTTATGCTTTTCAACTTGTCTGAAAACAAACTGTAAACAAACTAAATGCATAAAAATCTGATTACAAACAACTCAAACTACAGCACAAAAATCAATCTTAGAGGAAAATAATTTTTCACACTTTTGCTATTGGAGAACCTACTGCAGAGAGTTATCTGCCAGCATGTCTTGTTTTACTGCTGGTTTTGTAAACGTCTGCAGCAACATGAACATTTCACTGAAGAAAGTGAAGCCGAGGGAAAACCTTAACTATCAAGGCTTTGAGGAGGAAATAAAGACTTTACGTTTTATCGTGTGACATTTTATTGATCTAATCTCCGTTTCCTCTTCATGTTCGCCTCCCAGAATGACAAATCTCTCTTCATAACTTCTGGCAGATGCTTTTTTTATCAGACCGGAAAATGTCAGGCAGGTGAATCCTTGAATGTCGCAGTGAAGCGGGTTAGACAAAAGAAAAATTGCTTCAATACTGTAGAATCAGGTTTGACCTTTCACTGCTCCAAAAACAATCCAGTGAGTCACGTCGGACTGCAGCTGCGCGTTAAACCAGCAATAATTCCTGCAGGATTTGTTAAATCTTCACAGTAATTATGGTTGAAACCACATTTTCAAGTCCTGGTATCACAACTCTAATATCATTTTAAACATTAATGCCAAAAATACATACGAGAAACCATTTTATGTTTATCTTCTAAGCAGCTACATTTTTTGTAATCTTTAAAATATCTTCAWCATATTTATCTAATCAGTGTGAACGCTTCACAGCATTCACACTAGAGGTAATTTTTATTCCGTATTTTTTCATCATCTAACTCTATTTTAACAATGCACATATCAAAACATTCAGCACATCCATCTTAAGGGTGATATGACTTTTGGTATTTCAGCTATTTATACTTTTTTAGCTATTTCACTTTTTCGGCCACTTTTTCCCCGTTGAATATGAATGAGGCTGTTTTCAACATCCTTAAAACCCTTCAAAATGTTTGTAAATCTGACACAATTTGTTCTTTTTCACATTTTTGTGCTAATTTTATCTACTTTTTTGTACTTCTTTCTGCTACTTTGTGCCATTCGGCTATTTTCTGCTATTTTAGCTGAAATTCAGCTGTTATTAGCTAAAGTTAGCTGTTTTAAGCTGAATACACAGTTATTTTAGCTATTACAACTTATTTAAGTTCAGCAAACTTGTGCTCCTTATGCTTCTTTATGCTAATTAAAAAACTTCCAGCTACATTTTAGCCTTTTTTTTTTTTACTGAAGATTTTGCTGTTTTGGATATTTTACTACAAATTGAGAAGTTTTTTAGTATTTTTTGATGRGTTTTCCTCTGCTAATTTTAAATTTTTAACACAACTTTTACTTTCTGAGTGTTAATTACAACTTGTGGCTGCTACCTTTAGCTAATTTTACCTTTTTTTTATTCTTTTTCTGCTTTGGATCTGCTTTTTCTGCTATTTTTCTGATGTTTTCTACTTTGTGTTTTTTTCTTCTAATTTGTTAAAATGCTTCTTGCAGATATTTTCAGCCATATTCAGCTAGTTTAGGTTTTAGCTTGTAGCTGTTTTCTGTTGTTTTCAACTAAATTTGTGGTTCTTTTTTACAGTTTTTCTGCAAAGTTAGGCTTTTTTTGCTTTCAGCGTTTCAAAGTCAAAAACAGGWGTGTTAAAATTTCAGTGTTAAACTTTTGGGTGTTGATTTTACACCCCCTAGTGTTATTTTAACACTTTCTGAGTAAACTGACACCCAGTGTTGGTGTTAATTCACAGTGTTGATTTCCTCAGTGTTGTATCAACACTGGACAGTGTTAAATAAGCTCCGCCCACTGTTAAGTCTTATATAACACATAACAGTGTTGTTATATGACACCGTGCAGTGTTGAAAGAAGTATTCGGTAAACCGAGCCTCGTTTATCCGGTGAGACGTCTGCGACCTCGCAGCTTTTTGGCAGGAGGCCCTGCAGCCGCAGCCAGGATCTGTGTTTTATTATGAATGAGAGCTGCTGCAGGGCTCAGTYGCTTTGATGTTCGAGGCGTTGTGGCGTTGCAGAGACAGACGCCTCGTTAACGCCGTCTAATCGCTCACACACACACCCGCCGCACGATGGAGGCAGAGAGGACAGCCCCGCCCACCGGWGGGAACACTTTAAAAGCTAACATCAGACGGTTTCAGTAGCAGGAAAGTGATTTGTTAGCTATGGTGCTGTGTGAGGGTCAAAATTAAGACTATTGCACAACTAGTGGTTGCTACATCCTTGTAGCYGGAGGCTATATCTATTCCTAATCCAGCTATTGATCTGATTAATGATAGGCCGGCACCACTAACTGAGAGGCCGGAGCTGGCAAATGAGAAGGAGAATATTCATTTGTGTTAGCATTGGAGAGGTTATTGAAGCATCAGAAAGACTACCTATTAGTATGGATAAGCTGGTGTTAACATCGGAAAGGCTAGCAACTAGCGTACCTAGGCTGCTCACCCTCGTTATTAGAATAACTTTTTTCATCTCCGATGCTAATGCCAGCGTATCCATGCTAGTTGCTAGCCTTTTTGATGCTAATGCCAGCTTATCCATGCTAGTCTCTAGCCTTTCTGATGCTAATGCCAGCTTATCCATGCTAGTTGCTAGCTTTTCTGATGCTAATGCCAGCTATCCATGCTAGTTGCTAGCCTTTTCGATGCTAATGCCAGCTTATCCATGCTAGTCTCTAGCCTTTCTGATGCTAATGCCAGCTTATCCATGCTAGTTGCTAGCCTTTTCGATGCTAATGCCAGCTTATCCATGCTAGTTGCTAGCCTTTTCGATGCTAATGCCAGCTTATCCATGCTA